CATTAAAACTTTTTTTAAAGCATACTTTAGTTCTGTGAAGGGATATAAGGGATATATGCACTATACTTCACTTTAATTAATATTGTATACTGAAAAGCGTATATATATTACAGCACGATCTTTTGTTGAATAGATTTGAGTGGTTCAAAATGTTGGGTCGCGATTTATTGACAAAGTAAAAAGTGGGTCCCGAGGCCTGACCAGTTGAGAACCACTGATCGACAGATAATTCACCATCAAGTTAGTTCAAAAGTTTGCAGTTCAAATATTCTGCTGCTTTCCCAAGCCTTTTTACTTTCTTTTCTCATCTTAATACAAATGCATTCACTACTACTTACATCTGATATTTAACTCCTTCAGCCTATTTTCAGCTGCAGAAACCATTCAACTATTACATTATTCAGCTATTTCAGGACATCAAGGCTATACATGTTGTTGTTTATACCTTTTTTTAAACCTTTTCTTTTAAATATTAAGCTTTTTCTGCATTTTTGTAGCTAAAAGCAGCTAACATTCAGCTAATAACATATTCAGCTTTTTCTGCATTTTCAGCTAAATTCAGCCACAAATGTTCACAGTTTACAGCATTCACACGCATTTTCTGCAGGAAATGCATTTTCTAGTTATGTCTCATCTTCTACAATTTCAATGCACGTGTCCTGCCTCAGGAGGGCGTGAGAGAGAGGGATATGGACTGAGAATATGAGAACGGTTTTTCAGATACATTTCATGAATGACATTTGTATTCCTGATTACCTGCAGGCCCGTGTGATATGAGGAACCAACACTTGATTTGAATCAATCATTTTTAAATACTTGAAATTAACATTATGTGTATATACATTTTTGTGCAGAAAATAAAATTCTCTTTTTACTTTAATACACACAGTTAAGCTGCTCACACACACACATATAAGTTCACCTACTGAATTAAAAACAGAACAAATGAACCAAAGAAAGTGAAAACCATGGGGAGAAGTAACAGTAATCTGATTACAACTTTTTTTATATAACTGTAAATTACTGTGTTTCTGTAGTTTGATAACGTAATGCGTTACTCCCCATGCCTGGAATGGAAATCCAAATTTCACATTTAGGTGCTTTTAAAATAAAAAAATTACTTCATATCAGTCATCAAACGCTATCTTTATATAATGTCCTAATTGCAAAAAAACAATTCAGAAAAAAATAGAAACTTGTCTTAGGTGTCACGGCCTATCATTGTCTGTTCATCAGTTTTCTTAGTTCTATGCACCTGAGAATTGTTTGGAATTTAAAAATACTCCATTTAAATAAATCATAGCATGTTTTTTTGGACATTTTATTTCTCAAACATGCTTTGCTTCAATGGAAGTTTTGATTTTAATTTTTTTTTTTTTTATTTGAGTTGTTTTTGACTTTATATTTGTGCACATCATGCTCTTAAAGTACCTCTTCATGTGTCTTTGTTCTGGTTTACAACTGCTTTTTATTTGGAAAAAAGCGCTTTGATATATAAAACGTTATCAGGAGAATAAAAGACTCTCACAGTTCCTGACCAAACATTTTCTACAGTATATGAAATTATAAGAGTCTTTACTAACGTTTGATGATGAGCGTTGTTGTTTTTCAAAGGAAGACTGAGCAATCTGTACTATAAAGCAATTTTTATACAAATTACAATTATCAGGTTAAAAGATAATAACACATTGGTCCATAGCTTAAATTCAGAATGGACCAATGTGGTCAATTACATGGAATGGAAGGATAACTGAATTAAGTAAAAAATTAAGTTCATATCTTTGACAACAGATGTGAAAAAAGGGTGAGTTATACAGTAGAACACAAAACATGAAGACCCTGTGGTAACACATGACACTGACTGTATTACTTTTTTTATCCGTTATCTGATTGCTATATCCTGTAAGTTATTGGTTATCAGTTTTTTCTCTTTTTTTTCTACTTTACTAATGTGTATGTATCAGGTATGTATGTATGCCCTGATTCCATATCATTTCCTGTAATGCATTAAACAAAAGAAGAAAAGGCCTTTTAAAGTTCCGGTGCGTCCCACCAGAGGGCGCTGCTGCCCACATTATCCGGGCTTCATTCAGAGTCCCAGTGCATTCACTATTTAAAATACAATCAAATGTTAGAAAGCAGTTTTTAAACCTCTCACTTTAATTGTGTGTTTAAAGTTAAAGACTGTAAATCTGACAACACAAAATGAATACATGTTTTAGGATCAAGGTGTGAAATTCTAATTAAGTAAAAATAATAATACCATTGTATTGCTCTTTTTATTTTTTACATGTCCTGTTATTTAGTGAGTATGTAAGTGCACATTTTGAATGTGTGATGGTTGTGATGGTTGTTTAAAGACCAGAAGGGCTCATGGGATGTGAGTGGTGACTCTTCACATCCACTGCCTGCAACAAGCGTCTTTTTGTCCAAACATCTGCTTATCTCCCCTGTCACTGCTCTGTCAATTCCCCTTCGTGTGGAGGTTACACTCAGATAAGATTATCTCTACGCTGTTTATTAACCTATTTCCCTTCCATAGCAGGACAAAGAGCTGCGGTGTGTAACGGCCATCAGCAGGCCAACAAGACGTTATTGAAGTCACAATGTAAAGCATAAATCAGATCATAGTCCTCTGGCCTGCTCTGAGCAACAGGTTCACTTTTAATTTACTATTAAAAATCGAATGAATTGGTCTCTTTTCTTTTCATTATTTGTCGATTGTTATATAGTTATTTTAAGTATCTAAGCGTTCATTTTGTATGCCATGTAATCAAAGAATTTCTTAAAAAGCAAATAAAGAAATTAAAAAAAAATATATATTTTCTATATATATATATATATATATATATATAGCTGCTAAAAATATATCTAGAATATATTGCAAAGGCGCATGTAGTGTTCTTTGTTTTGTTGTTTTTGTCGTTATTCGTTAAGCATTATTTTTGTTGTTGTTGATATGATTTCACCAATAGGCCTATATTGCCATTTATTTTTATTTGAATTAGAAATAATGCAGTGTCAGTCAATCGAATAATTAAATGTTCTTTATGGGTTTAACATTTTCTTCCAATAATTATCCATCAAGATTATTTTTGGCTCTCCATTCGTCTAGTGCGCGCCACGGTCTGTTCCTCTAACGGATCTGAGTTTAAGAGTTTAAACTTTAAATTACTTGTGAATTTAGGAGATATAAATTGGAATCATTATGTTAAATCTCGATTATGGTCTGGCGATAACGGGCTGTTTGGCTGCAGAGGAGCCGCAGAAAGTGCCAATCGTTCCCTCATTGATCTCACATGGGTCAGCCGCAGCTGCTTTAACTCACTCACATTTACTCAAACGAAGAGATGTCAGATCTGAAAAAAATTACAAGGGTGTTTTTTTTTTCAAAAGCTTCTCCTATGATTATTTTAGAAAGACTTTAAAACAAGGTAATACAACCAATGTATAGCCCATGATCAGGGGGAATGCACGGATATGAATTATAAATAGAGGGCCATTTGCAGAATTAGAAAACGTGTGTACTGCATCCCTTGAATAAATACTGTCAGAATTGTGAATCACCTCGCGTTGAAAACCTTTTAAAACCCACAATATTTCCCCGGTGAGCAAGGTGCATTTGCTGAAGCCTTTCAGATGCTAGCACAGGCCATATTTCACTCTTACTACCTTCTGCATCTCCATAAAATATTACAGCACTCCCAGTGATGACTGAGCCTCACACCTCCCGTAATAACGCAGTTTGTCTGGAAACACTGATTATCTCTGTTATAAAACACGGCTGTCCTTTAAAAGATGTTATACTTTATAATGATCCACTCTTATTTTATCTGACTGCTGTTTTTTCCTCACTTCGTTCAGGAAAAACATGAAATGACATGAAATAATGGCGATGTTCAACATGGGGTAAAGTGAGTGAGACCGTAATCTTTTACGAAGGCAGATTACAACACGGGTTGGAATAACTCAGTTAATCCCGATCCCAATCTCCAAAGTACCAGGGTCCATCACCGAATGGTGCGCGGCGGGAAATAAAAAAATATAAAACGCGATGATTGTTTGAAACCTCTTACCGCATATCATATCAAACATATCAACAAAAATACATTTTACAATTCTGCAAAAGAAAAATCAAGTTGAATGATATTTTTCCCCTGACCTGCTTTTTAAAATAATTAGCCTAACTTTAGTCTTAGACATTGGGGGTCCGTCCTCGCGCCCGCCGGATGCCGCTTCTACTTTAATATACTCACACTGTCTGCGGTAACAGCTTATAATGTAAATGCATATTCTTTGTCATATGTGGAAACAATGATTTCCGCGGTGCGAGGCGCATCATTAACGGCACCGCTAAAGATCTTAATAGAGTGTGGCTGCTGGTGCGTTCATGGTCTCCTCCGACGATTCAAAACTCTAACAACGCTTTGGACAACGTTACAGTTGTAGTTTCACTCAAGGATCAAATTAGTTCCATTTATATTAATAGTTAATTTTTACATTATTGTATTACTATTTTCTTCTAGAATAGTCGAAAAAAAATTCAGCTTCATCAGGCATGACCTTTTTGAACATAAACTGTCCAACCGAATTACAAAACAGCTTTTTTTTTTTTTTTAAAGGTGAACAACTTTAAATAGGCAAAAAGAGTATACAGCCTGTGCTTCCAGATAATAGCTATTTCGTATGTGTAGCTGCTCTGTCATTTGTCCGCAACATGGATCATCTATCATAAATAAATCCAGTCAGTCCACCGAGCATGGTCGTTCATATGCAGTTTAACTGGAAGCTACTATTTCCGACAGCACGTCAAGGCATCAACCGTCCAAAGAAGCCGCATGTATAAGCAGCGGAGCCTCTGTCTCCTCCAATCAAAGCGCGGTCTCACTCAGCCCCGTCCAATGGGAATAGCGCGCGTGCAGGTGGCTGCACTATTATCAGAGGGTCCCGCTTCACTCCCAGGCTAGAGCGAGTCAATTTATGGAAAGACAAGTCGACCCTTTAATGGTTCCCATCAAAACCACTAAAAACATCATCAGACCGGCTGACTTCCGCGAGGACTCCTGTGGCGGACGCATGCAGCTTTCTCCCAGCTGACAACCGACCATAACAACCCGCGGAGAGACATTTTGGGACTTTCACCGAGCTCTTCCCTTCCCAAGAGAGAATAGAAGTTCGCTTTTTTAAGTTTTGCAACATTTCCAGAGTCTGCTTCTTCTTCACCCAGGATACTTTCACAGAAGGCGGTGCAGTGGCCTGGCTCCTGAACCTCTGCGCCTTCATTTACTCTCATTAGCTTTGTTTATTTCCTGTTTTTATCCAAACACATTTGGTGGTTCATGTTCACAAATGTTAGCGGTCGGGCAAATGGATGCTAACCGGCAGAGTGCTTTCGTCCTGGGCAGCACCCCGCTGGCGGCGCTGCACAACATGACCGAGATGAAAAACTCCCTGTTCCCGTACGCGCTGCAGCAGAGCCCCGGGGGCTTCAAGGCGCCCCAGTTCTCCTGCCTCAACTCCCAATTTGCCGGGGGGACCCCGCACGGAATAAGCGACATCCTGGGGAGACCCATCAACGCTGCCGGACAGCTGCTCTCCGCGTTCCCGCGGATAAACGGCCTGGCCAGCACCGCCGCCGCCGCAGCAGCCGCGGGGATGTACTTCAGCCCCGCCATGTCGCGGTACCCCAAGCCCCTGGCCGAGCTGCCGGGGAGGGCGCCCATCTTCTGGCCCGGGGTGATGCAGGGCAACCCCTGGAGGGACCCGCGGCTCCATTGTCCATGTAAGTCCTGTCTAAGGGGCTCTCTGTGAGAACACTTTCAGTTTTTGAATGCAGATGTGCGGTTGTAAAATATGTATAGCTGTGCTTCTCTCTATGTGATATTAGCCTGTATTTAAACATGTAACTGTCCAGCAAACCCACACAAACAAAAATAGCTAGACTAAATTGTACAGATTTCATAGCCCCTCTAAATGTATTGAAAAGATTTTTACAGCTGTATAAAAGGAATAGGCTACATATTATTAGTAGCCTAGTAGTGGTATTATTATTAGGCATATAATCACCATAGCATTGACACTCAATTCTAATGTGATTCTTGGCAGGACATTTCAACTTGTAAAATTAAAACTATAAAAGCACCATGGTAAATAATTTGTCAGTACACTCACCATGTAGGCTAGCTCAGACACACATTACCATTTTAGGGTTATTTAGAGTTGACTTTGAGGAGCATCACATTTAAAACAACATGCTTTATCAATATAAACAGCTGTCTGAGCCCTCACTCTGTATGTAACCATACTTCCTTGTATTTATGTTTGCAGCTCAAGCTATGATGTTGGACAAGGACGGGAAGAAGAAACACTCCAGACCGACCTTCTCAGGGCAGCAGATCTTTGCCCTGGAGAAAACTTTCGAGCAGACCAAATACCTGGCCGGGCCGGAGAGAGCCCGGCTGGCCTACTCTTTGGGGATGACCGAGAGTCAAGTCAAGGTAAACACCTGCTCATTCATTATTCAAATAGGGAAAAGGTTTCACTTTCCTGCAATCTGAGAACTATGAATTTGGCTCAGGCCACGATAATAAACGGTGTGTGATCGATCACATATATAACCTAATATTATTTCTATTTTTAAATAAGGTTGTTGTTATTATTAGTATTATTTGTTATTTATATTATGCATACAGGATTATTTACACCTGTTTTGATTAGTTTGATTTCTGATGTCTTGTTATTGGACCTGTTGAGCATCGTTTCGCCTCTGCTCCTCTACAGGTTTGGTTTCAGAACAGAAGGACCAAATGGCGGAAGAGACACGCGGCAGAAATGGCCACGGCCAAGAAGAAGCACGACTCTGAGACGGAGAAAATGAAGGAGAGCTCGGATAACGAGGACGACGACGAGTACAACAAACCGCTGGACCCAAACTCAGACGACGAGAAAATCACGAGACTGTTGAAAAAGCACAAGGCCACCAACCTGGCGCTGATCAGCCCCTGCAGCAACAGCTCGGACACCTTGTGATGCCCACAGCTGGGGGGGCACAGTAGGGGAGGGGGCCACAGAGACACGTCTTTCTGAACCCCATCCCACCTGACACTTCGAACATGCGCCTGATGGGATCGCATCATGCTCAGACAGAGCGAGAAAATGCGTAAAAACCGCTGTTGCGCACGAAAGACGCGCTCCCCAAAACATGTCCAGAGACGCTTTGGCTGCATCCAAACTTACCGACAGTGTAAAAACGGAGAGGAAACTCCTGTCCGAACTCAACAAGACTGGTGATTCAGCTGAAAGGACAACATAATACTGGAAAATGTTTGGCGACGCAAATCAGATTTTTACGCATTCAACTGGAGTTTTAACCACAGGTGTAAATGTAAAGAAACTATTATATACACACAATCCGGATCACTGTTGGCTCATTACTTGTTGACTTTTATTCCTCAAGCTGCTCCTCTTTATGTAATTCATGACACTTGTTACATTATTTCCCGCGCCACCTCTACCCAAGATTAGCAGCTTCTGTCACCTCTACAGCCAAGAGGGCCATCCATTTAGCCTCCAGCGAGAGTGGATGTTCCTGTTAATTGGTTTTCACTATATTTTCATCTGAAGAAAAAAGACAGCTTTTTTTTAAATTCTGAAGCCACACTTTTAGATCATTCAGCCTTAATGCAATTTGGGTTGAAGAAAAAGTAAATGTAGCTTTGAGAGGTGTCTGTACGCTTTTAACAGATTTATTAGCAGCCCACTGTGATCCGGATCCCAGACGCATGTTTCAGATGGCAGGTGTAGACGGGCCTGTGACGCTTCTAAAGCTCAGTTTAACCAGGGTATCCACTGTCCTAAAGGCACGAGGCCGCAGGTTTGACACGAATGAATGATTTGTGCTGCAGCCTAAAGATGAGATGAGATTGTATATATTTTTTACTGAATAAGTTATGTTGTTTCAACCAGTGGAAACGTGGCAGCCGGACGCGCTTACAGATAAACCTGCTGCTTCCTTTGTGTTCCTGCAGTGTGTCGGGCCATGGTCCGTCTGGTACCGGCACACCGCTGTAACCCGCTGCTGTAAATACCTGTAAAGGACAGCTAACAGAACACTCTCCATCATCTGGCCTCACTCAGCGGCAGAACACCGGCCACCGTTTCTGCTGGAATTAAAGAGTATTATTGCTTCCGGGAAGGTTATAGGAAGAAAAAAAACAACACTTTGTATTATGAATAAATTATTTAACAAGCATTTCTGTTGTATTACGGGTTTTGTTTTAATGTATGGGCTTAATATAAATTAAAAATAAATTCACGACTATCAATAATCGAATGTCATTATTATTGGCAACAATTGTGCTTTCAGGGCTTCATGCTGATTTAAAGTCTGAAGCGAATTTGATTATGAAAAAGGAAATGTATTTTATTATTTTAATTATTATTGATATTATTAATAGTAATGCGCCAAAGCACCTCCTTTAGTTTGATTCAGTTAGCGTGTCAACAGGGTTATTTTCTAAAACGCAAAATTAATTTAAAAACGGAAATTATCTATAGGTCCATCTTTTCTTTCATTAGGTGGTATTATAATAATTTTGGTATTACAACCAAATTATTAGCATTATTATAATCAAATATGAATGTATTAATATAATCACAGCATTCTCAAATGTTAAATAATTGGCAATTATTCAAAAATTATATTTTGTAACAAATTATAGATATTTGTCCGTTATTATATACAAGCACTGGTAACGTTTAAAAAAAATCAAAGCTCAGTGTGTTTTCTTGAAATAACGGATGTTTTATTTTTAGCTTCCTGTGGGCAGCCAGCAGTCTGACCTGTAGTTCAGGTCTTTATTAATATATGAAGGAGATGATATTGTTTATTATATTTAATCTGGAGCTCCTGACAGCAGAACGCCCCCCCTGTCCGGCTCGAGGTACTACACCTGTGTTCCTCCTGCAGGTTGTATCAATGGGAGCTTGCTGCAGTCTCTTTGGAGCAGAAATCAGAAGCCATACAATCAGATCCCACTGAGGAGGGATTTATAAATCATGCAGAAGTGAACAGCTGCTGCCACACTGCAGGGAGAAAAGGATTTATCCAGAAATAATTATTAAGATATATTTAGCCGAAATGTTCCTTTAGCTAATATTCCTAAATAATGTCTATATAGTGACTTTATTGACGTATTATTTTTTAAACGTTCTTTTAAGTAACCTTAACATTATATACAGCTTAATATTGGTTGTAAAGCCTGTCTGAAGGTTATTGTTAACATTTTAAATCGCTTGCTTTTCAATATGTTTAATATCAGATAAGCTGCATTGAAAGTATATTTGTTATTTAAATTGCATAACTAAATTCCATTACCATCACAAACTGGATATGAATTATTTCTTCTGTTTTTACATCTCTCGCTTTCTAACTTTTAATATATTCCCGTCAGTTATATTTTCCGTTAAAAGCCTAAACATCGCGAATTTCGGACAATAATTTGTATTTATTTCTGTAACTAAAAATATAGACTAGCCTATATGCCAACATCATAGCGGCATATGAGCTCATTTTGTCATACCCACGCCAATAAGAAATATAAATAGCCTAAATAAAGTTGATATTTCGAACTATACTCCTCTTTTTTCGATCGTGGCTGCTGGAAGAATATTTTAAACCAATTAAAGGTGTCATAGTGCACCCCCCTGAAGAGAAACGACCATATTCCAGTTCTTATTCTACACCCCGCCGTGGTGATATAGTGATAATACACTGATGAGCTCGTGCGGGGCTAATTGATGAAGACCTTTATCACGAGGGTCTCTTATTGTGGAGAGGAGAGAGAGAGGGAATGAGACAAACAGCCGTGAGCTCTAAAGGTATTTTTTTATTGCTTGAGAACTGCATCACCTACAGCAGGCCGTCCGGAGGGGGGGGGGGAGGGGGCTATAGAATAAAATCTCTATCTGCTTTATAAGATGGAGTGAAGAGAAACTGCGGCTTACTCCTACAGAACACCCACAGGGACAAAAACAAGCAGGGCCTACAAACCAAAATCACACAAGACAACATAAATTCTGCGGCAGGCACAAAATCATTTCCACTTGCAGTGATTTAGATGAAAAATAAATCACAGTCTGAAATCTGTAGTGTAGTAAATGAAATCGATACAAAAGAAACCTAATGCTCAATGATCTGCAAATAAGGCTGAAACAAATAAAAAGCTCCCTGCTCTTCCCGCGTTAGAGTTTCTCTCTTTTTTTACATGACATAATCAACACCGTTACCACTTATTCTAGAACTCTTACACATTTCATCTCGGTTTAGGATACTTGGCACCAAATGCAGTAACAACAAAAAAAATGACACACAAAAAAACATTTGAAGGATACCCAAGCCTATCTAAAATATCACATTCAGAACCATAATATTATAGAAATAAGTTAGAGTAAGAATAATAATGAACTAATGTGAGAGCTATATATGAAACAATATCTTATATACTTGCATGGTCTATGGCACTGCTTAAAACATTCTGGGAGGCGATCAATCACGAAGAGTCTCTACTCAAAGGTCACTCTCTGCACACTTCAGCATAAACATTTTGGTAAGAATTATAAATTATCTCTTTAAAAAGTACAGTATATAAAATGAGACTCAACTGATGTGTCAGGCATGGCAATGTGTTGTGCACACAACAACTCAAAAACAAAAATGTATATATTTATATATATATTTATAAATTGTTGAAATAAACGGAAAGGTTATCTGTTCCAACAAAGGGACCGCAAAGTTTGGTCAGAAAGAGAACGGCACTAAAATCATCAACAACTCTATGTTATACTGTCCAATGTACAAATAAACCTAACAATATAGATATACAACTTGTTTTTGCATTGCACTTAAAACACCTTACATACTGTGTGAGAGTAGCTCTATACAGAGAGGCATACCTAAAAATGGCAAGTACGGTGTCTAAAAGTAAGTAGTAGGACTGATTTAGATTAGAGTTTTGGCAACGAGGCTGCGGCATGGAAAAGAGTCGTCCGTCCTTTTTTTTTCTTCTTGGGGGGAATGGGGTTGCATGGCAACAGTGAGGTCAGCGATGTGTGTCTGTCTGGAGCCCTCGGTGCTCGTCCACATCTCAACAAGTGTTTTATGGAGAGAAAACGGCAGGGTGTAAGGATGAGGCGTCAGGACAACTGCAACTGCTCAGCACTGCTGAAAAACTTCAGTGTATGCTTGTGCAAAGTGTGTGTGTGTGTGTGTGTGTGTGTGTGTGTGCATGTGTGTGCATGCATGTGTGTGTCCTGTTTGTTTCTCTTGTGTTCTCACAGAGGCGCTTCTCGGAATATCTTCTCCCCCCTTTGGCAACACTTCCCTGTCGAGAGAAAAACACACATTTTTATTCATAAATGCCAAGTAGAGTTTCAATCAAATAAAAATGCCCACTTTTTTAATTTAAGCACAAGATGCAGTAAGTAAATCTCTTAAAATGACAAAGCATTTTAAGCTATAATTTTTCCACTGATGATGTTTTATTCTGGAATAAAACTCCTTCAAATACCATTTGTGCAAAGTCATGAGAACTCAGACAAATCAAACATACAATGGTGAGAATTATAGTAAAGAAAAATTAATATTTACCACGACATCACTGCACCACACAACACTTGTGCTTATTTGCATTAGGTTTACCTGCCCCCGCTGTTATTCGGAAGGACAGGAAGACAGGCTGGATGGGGGACAGAGACAGAGCAGTTAGACCCTGTGGGACAGGAGGACCCCCCCCCCTCTGACACACAGGTTAAACTCACAGGGCATTTTTGGGCCCGTGTGCTAACTACATTGGACATTTTTTAAACATGGCCTTCTGGGATTTTAGCAGTAGTGTGTGGCGGGGGGGTTCTGTCAGAGTGCTCAGGTCACCTCACACACACACTCGACCGTCTGTGTCACACTGACTTTTGATGAAAGACCTGACTTAAGGCGCCTCTCTCTCAGCGGACGACCCTCTGTCTGACACCCTCAGACTGGAGCGCCCGTGTTAAACTCTGTCTATACACTCAGCCCCTCTCTGTGCGCTCACACCCAACATATTTCAATTATTCTTTATAAAAGTGCTGCAGGAATGAGTCCTCAAACCCAGGAATGAGTCAGCATTTTTTAAATTCTGTTACCTAGCATCAACGTTTTTTTCTTTAATGGGTTTTTGATTAGATGCCTGAAATAAAATCTGTGGTAAAATATGAGATTTGTATGCACCCATCAGTAATGACCCCACTTTGGGAATTGTGAAGCTTTATGTGTCTTAATAAAGGTGGTTATGAAGTGGCTAACTTACATTACTAAAGCTTATCCCGTCATACACAGGTGTGTTTGTCATCATGTCATGAAACCATGGTAAAGTGCATGATATTTTTTTTACTCCCATTTCATCTGAGAAATCATAAAAGTGGTGTTTCTATTCAAAGTTTCTCTTGTCATAGGAAGGGAGTGTAGTCAGCAGGGTAACCTTTCAGTTCATGGCAGAATGAAATATTTATTTATTTATTGATCATATTGCTTTTAGAAAGAAGTTTCCTAAATTAAACCTGGTAAGGGATTAAGGTTATATATTCCACATTTCTAGTGTCTGTTACCACTGAATCTGTTCATATATTTATTTCATTAGCAATATGAAATGAGGGAACCAGCAGCTTCCCGGCCTGCAGGAATACGTGAGTAATGCTTTACATACGGCTCTGACTGCTGGTGGGGGACATTCTGATGCAGACTGAATATGTTTGTACACTTCTTTTGTAATTGTTGATCAGTGGGACTATGCTTGAAAATGTTCTTTCTACAACAGCCTTTACACTACTGGAAACTTAAACTATGAATAATAATACTGTTTGTTGATAAATGAGCCCACATGAATGTGAAAGTTGCAATTCAAATGAATGCAGGCAGAAGCAAGTGTAATATAAGTCAAATACATCTTATCCCCGTTAGTAACAATAAATATAGTTGGAACACATTGAAGGGGAATCATGTTGTTCCTAAAGTCCCTGTCCAATCATTTCAATTAACATCAAAAACTAGAGTGCTAAATATCAAATGTGTGATGTCATCAAGTATAAAGTCTGGAAGTGAGTCTCCTGGGAAATATAGAAAACTCAAATATTCTGTGGGTCCACAAACTCCTATTGATTTAATTCTTTCTTTATACTCGAAATGTACTACATTTGAGACCTTCTTCTGACTTGAAAATATAATATGAAAATTACATTTTGGAATTCTAAATGAAGTTTGCGTTCCCCTTTAAAATCCATATCTACACATGAAATACAGACAGGTGTTTCCCACTAGATGTTGTGAGCAGAGATCAGGGATCAGACTCACAGACTCAGTTTAGATAATGACATCATGACATCACAGTGAAGATGTGGCCCCAGAGGCCCCTCTCTTACCTTGTGGTCCCCCATGCAGACGTTGGGCCCGATGTTATCATAGACTACAGACTTCTCTTCGTTTTCAGGCTGCAGACACACAAAACCAAACATTATGGGATGATAAGGATGAGATGTATCTGTTGAATGGAACAGGCTGCAGTAACACATGCTGAGTCAGCAGCAGCGTGTGTTAGTACAATCATTACCTCACCTGTCATGTTTATGACACACTCATGGATCAGAAATCAATGCTCCGGCTTCATTAAGCACAATTAGCTGGGTTATGGTGGTGACTTTCCAAATAGAAGTCACTTAGAACTGCACCACCGTGGGATTCAAATGAATCAGGGGCTGAAGTGGCTGCACTCTTTTCCATATTTTTGTACTCTAGGAAACATTTTTGATTAACATTTGAAATAATTAGTTTAAGTTCAACAACATCCTAAACCAGTGCAGTCACTGTGTTCCGTTTATTTGTCATTTGCATTATATCGCTGGTTAATACATATATTTATACATTCATTCCAATCTGTTTTATAACTTCAATTGTATGGGGAATACTGGGGCCAAAATAAAAATGGGCACCAGTTAGAGAATGCGAAGAAATTAAAGGTTTATAATTTGCTAAATACATTCAGTTAATAGAATTGTGAGGGATGGCCGTGACTATAATCCAGCTGATTTACAGAAAGTAAAATGATGTTATATTATTGTTTTAGCGAACTTCTATGATGCCTGATTAATCGTTCATGATCGAGATGCATCACACACCGTACGTTTATTTCATGTGAAAGTTCTAACAGATCCCCACAGAGCAGTCGCACATCATCTGGTTTATGAAGGCTGAAGGCAGAAGGACCCCCCCCCCCCCCCCCCCCAGGACACGGTGAGGATTCATTCACAGAGTGGACGCTCTTCTGTTGCTACTGTCATCTGATCCTATCTGAGGGAACCATGTTTTGATATCACTGTTACCCGCTCACACACCAATCTGCAGCCTGGAGAATACAACACACACACACACACACACACACACACACACACACACACACACACACACACACACACACACACACACACACACACACACACACACACACACACACACACACACACACACACACACACACACACACACACACCACACACACACACACACACACACACACACACACACACACACACACACACACACACACCACACACACACACACACACACACACACACACACACACACACACACACACACACACACACACACACACACACACACACACACACACACACACACACACACACACACACACACACACACACACACACACACACACACACGGGTGCTGAGTGCTTCAGAAGAAAGAGACAGAGAGCTTGAGAATGAACCATAAAGTGAAATCCAAATGAACTTCAGCCCAATCCTGCGGCGGGGGGGTCAGCTCCACCTCACTCTACCTTTCCTCGGGGGCCACGCTCTGGTACCTCTCTATTTGTCTGGCAGCCGGGCCCCCGATTCGCTGCCTCCCAAAGCCAGAGATACATTCATCAAACACACACTTGATAATTTACAAAGGCAGCATAAAATTGTGGATTTTCGGGCTGCATAATCTTTAGACAGATAAACAAATTACCCGGGGGCTCCGGCAGAGAGGGAGTGCTCGCTCGGCTAAACATTCATTACCGGCGCTGGGGGCCGGGGCCCGCCGCGCAGCCAGCGGCAACCTTTGGCGTGTTAGGGCTCGGCAAGCAGAAAATAACATGATGGCGAGTTAACCGAGCGTGCCATGATAGATGAGGCCCGCCGCTGTTTACGGGCTGTGTCTCAACAATCTGTAACGCTGGAGCCACACTGTGTGCTCAGTGAATCATCAGCCAATCTGAGAACACACTAACCGTTCCACCGGCCCCCGCATTACAAGCAATTAGCCGGTGCTTGAGGAGGACAAAAGCAAACAACAACCCAGCTGTGTGTGTGTGAGACACTTTTTACATAATTCTGACACATTAAGTGGGTGAAATAAACTGGCTAGTCTCTGTTTTTAATATAGTTGTTGTTCTAGTGTGGCTTCCATTGGTAAAGAAGAAAGATCAGGAAGGGATTTCTGGGACAAAAGAGAGCCGAACTTCCTGAGCGCCCCCTGCTGTGGACTGTACCTGCACAATACACTCTGCAGGCCTGGAGGAATACAGGCCATTTCATAGATTTACATGAATCTCCTGGGTAGGGTTATCCAAAATAGGAAAAAACATATCGTGTCCAGAAATGCAGGTACTTTCCTTTTATGTGGCTATGTTACAGCATATTAAACTTGAATTGTCCATTGTAATGTACGATATAATTGCTGTGAAGCGTTTTTATTGTAACTACTTTCTACAGAAAAAATAGTCTGCTTGAAAAGCGCTTGCATGATGTTTGACGTTTGGACGACACATTTGACGCATGTGAGCGACTCGGACTTTAGAATTGGTGACTTGACTACAACACTGGCTTCATGTCTAACACACACACACACACACACACACACACACACAGACAGATCAAATACTGGAGTTTAAGCACTGGAAATACTTAATTCCACAGTGTTGGGGAATCTGAAATGGGAGAATAACACAAATCAAAAAGAGTTGTCTTATGGAAAACGGGTTTCAACAAATCTGGGAGAAATGTGCAGAGCAGCCAGACGGATCTCTTGGTAATCCAGCAAACAGAGAGGGAGCAGAGGATGGAGGTGGCAGATTGGCTGCAGTTTACAATGCTGGGATGGATTTGAAGCGGGGGCCTGCAGGGTTTCAATCCCCCAGGAAGGAGGCAGATCTGATGCTTCATGAAGAAGACTTTATAAGAGCTGGATATACTGTCTGGGTGGACCCGTGGCTTAGCGCTCCAAATTAATATTCACCGACACCTCATCCTTCCATCTGTGAAGTGCCAGAGGGTAATGTGGATGAAGGGCGATAGAGTGGTAGAAGTAAAGGGCGAGACATTTTTAAAAAGAGACCTGTGTTTCAGCTGAGGGAGGAATGGTGACATTTAGTTTAAAACACGACTCTTAAAAGCAATGGAAAGCCATGAATGGGGTCAGGAGGGGCAGGTCCGGCTCACCTTCAAGACCAGGTCCCTGGCAGAGGCAGACAGCAGGATCCGGTCGCACCAGGCGGGGCATCGGGTGTTCATGTACTGCTTCCCCTGGCTGCTGTCCTCACTGTACGGGTAACTGAGGAGACACAGCAGGACAGTGACGGAGAGAATCAAACATCGGTAGAAATGTATACATATGATGTCATAATGAGCTACTTGGTAGTGAATAGGACAGGCAATAAGAAAGGGTATAGATGGGTGCAGGAATGAGTCCTAAACCCCTGAATGAGTTTGCATTTTTTGGCACTTCCCAGGCTTTTTTAACATCATTTTGGTTCCCTAAATAAGGTCTGTGAATAAGACATAAAATACGTGAATAAATACCCCACTGGTGAATGTCCGAAGCTTTTCAGTGTGTTCAAAAAAGCGTTTGCTAACAAGTGTCTAAATGAGACGACTAAACAACATCACGCCCAACATTAGCCGCCTTTAGCATAGCGACAGTGACGTGAAGTCATGTAAGTAAGTAAGTAAGTAAAACTTTATTTATATAGCACCCTTCACAACAGGAATGTACAAAGTGCTTTACAGTATACAGTACACAATACACAATTCAAAGTACAACTATAAAATGTAGAAAAAAGCATAAAACACAGCAAGTAAAACATAGGATAAAACACCAATGAAAAACAGCTACAAACTCACCTCCTCTGACCGTGTTCTAGTTTATTTATAGCATTACATTAGCTATCTCTGGCAATTGCATTCACACTTCAACTATTTGTACTAAGAGTATTCTGCTGTAAGTATCAGAAACACGTGTTTGCCACACAATTGAATTCCAAAATCCAATGGAAAAATCATCTAATTGAGTCCATCAGCCTTCAGAAACAAGTCATCTCTACACTACTCTATAAATATGATTTGTATGAATCAACAAGGCTCCAGAAGCGTCATAAATATGAGACATCATCTGCTTTATCTCAGAGATCAAAATGTTTCCTGAGAAAACAGCAGGTCCATGAGTATGTCCAATCAGAGCCCTCTCTTGTATCAACACACATGAATGGCTCAATCAAAGCAATCTCTCTGTGCCAAATGTGCAGCTTGTGAGTGTGTGCTCGTGAGCGAGAGGAAGAGAGGAAGAGAGGAAGAAAGAAAGATTTATTCAAAGCGGGCCAGAGGGAGATTCAGTTGCCCATATGTATCGCTACATCCCTACAGAGTCATCAAAAACAGATTAGGTGCCGCAGCAAATGGCCATGAGAGATTGTATCTCTGAACAGCAGGGAACAATCGCATGATTTAAGCTCCGGCAGGGCTGGAGCCGGGCGGAGAGCCACAGAGCTGATACAGATTTACATTGTTGAGAATTCAATTTGCGCCTTCGGCTCATCAAACTGCTTCAACGCCACCAATCCAATTTGTTTGTCGGCGCTCATCAGGATGTAAGACCGGGCTTACGTACTGTAAGACCAATCCAATTTGCTCCTTCAGTGCCACACGTGCTAGCCGTAGCAGAACACAGAGTGCCTCCTCTCTGAGGATGGTGATATCCTAATGATAAAATAAACACACACATCGGCCCTCCGATTCATCACACTAGCCAACTTTTGATAGCTTAATTGGACTTTGTGCAAAAGGCAGAATGCATTTTATGAGCCTTTGGTTTGAGTTAGTTTGCGTATTATGTGTGCATTCAAATCTCTGTGGTTTCTACTGCAGCTGCAGCTACTACTGTAACTACAGACATCTTATCCACCATAATGAACGCTTTCATGCAGGCTTTTTGGCAATAGACTCCTTTCCCATTGCCAACCAACTAGTGTCTTTCTACTCTTTCTCCTGGTGTGTCACAATCTAAGCCAAGGCCGCGCTGGAGAGCAGAGTTTGAAAAGTCTCTAAAGCAGTTTCGGTGTTTGCTTCTTTTTTGATGACTGTTATTTACTTAGTTTCTTTTTTAAACTCTCACACTTGTTGGAACAAGACTAACAAAGATGGTTGTCATTCGAAAATCAACAAAGTAAAGTTATTTTCCGTCAATAGAGCTTCATGGCTTTGATGAGAGCAAACTGACTGTATGTGTGGTGTGGTAATAAACTATAACAATTGTCCAAATCCCTTTATTATACATTTACTTCAATACGCAGAAAAAAAGCATTTGCCAGATAAAAAGTGTAACTAATGTTAAAGCAACCAGTATTGCTAGTAATAGTAAAAAGTACTACTTTTGTGCTCACAGCTAACCAATCTTGTTCCAACCATGTATATCCCTTCTGATTAAACTTGGACTAATGCAAATGGAGAGAATTGAACAATGCTGCCAGGTTTTAATGTTCCATCTTAACAGAGTGGGTTTAGCTGTGCCCCGGTGACCCGGGGGTTAAGGCGCAGACCATGAACCGCAACATCCCCGGTTTGCATGCAACTGGAGACCTTTGTTTGACTGTATTCATGTCACCCTTCTGAAGGCTCAAGAATTACACTGATACTCACACAGGCCCTATCAGTGTGACAGCATATCTGGAAATAGCAGCAAAAACTATACATTTGAGTTTACTACAGCGCATGTTATGGAACTCAAGACAAACTATTCTGTCCCTGGTGAGGGAAAACATGTGAATTATGATAAGTGGTCTTCTCAGCTGCTATCTTGTTGCCTTTTCCCATTCTGTCTTGCTCAGGGCTCTGTCATTTCCTTTTCGCATGTTTATCACTTATTTTAATATGAATGTTAGCTAATCCCCATTCCTATGGCAGTGGCAATGTCTTGGTGGATCAAATATTCTGTGCATATCATGTTGTGTTCATGGATTTGATAAGATGATCATTTAATTTATTTTTTAGGTGCATTTTATACATAAAGCCTGGGACAAAAAATATAATAAGCCTTTTAGATCACCTCTGGCACATGCATAGCTTTGTTGATGATAATTGTCCATCTCCAGATGGACTACACACACACACACACACACACACACACACACACACACACACACACACACACACACACACACACACACACACACACACACACACACACACACACACACACACACACACACACACACACACACACACACACACACACACACACACACACACACACACACACACACACACACACACACACACACACACACACACACACACACACACACACACACACACACACACACACACACACACACACACACACACACACACACACACACACACACACACACACACACACACACACACACACACACACACACCCCACCAGGTGAACAAACAGACCTGTTGAAAGCTACTTAAAGAAGGTCCCTGCCTCCAATTAGCATTAATAGCACTTAAACCATGGGGGAAATGCATGGGGTTTTGGTATGCTAATCAAAGGGCTAAAGGAGTGATCCCGGGATAAAAGAGAGCATGAAGAATAGGATGAGTGAAACAGAGATAGACAAGGAGGCAGAGGAGAGGGGATAAAGACGGATCAGACAGAAAGAGGCAAAGTGAGGGTGGAAAAGAGCAAAGTCTTCAAAGGCCTGAGGAGCTGCTCCACTTCAGGGTGGCCTGAATGCTTCCTGAGGGACGGACCCCGGCCTTAAACAGCCTGTGAACAATCCTCCTATCAGGAGCCTCTGTTATAGCTTTATTGACTAACAAGCCCGGGGTCATTTTGGTGTTAAAGAGATTGAGAGAAAATCAAGTTTTCCCCCTCTCTCCTTCAAACAATGAACTCCCGCCTGATAGCAAACTTCCCCGAGCACTTCAGCAACAAAACTCCACTATCGTTCAGTCATTTTTGATGACAGCCAGCCATTGTAAAAGCTGATTAAAATACTCAACAATGGTCATTAAAGGGCAATTCTGCGTCCATGTGTGCAGCTATAGGTTGTTCCCCTTTCTGTTTCACCGCACCCTCCGCTGGCTCCGACAGAGATAACGCGTCTTAATGCAACAGCAAACAGTGGAATGGCGCGCTGGGGCCAAAGTGATTAATGTGTCCGATTAGCGAGCTCACAAACTTATCGGGCAAGGTAAACGGTCCGAGAGGGCGTGTGGGCTGGAGGCCGTCAGCTCATATCAGACCCTTATTGCCCAAAGCAAGACTAATTACACTAATTAATGGGCCAAGCTGATAGCTGCAACAATTGTGGACCTGTAAAGGAGGAGGATCTGCACTTCACCGTATCCACACAAACATACAGACCAAATCAGCAGCACAATTCTGTACACTACAACCTGCTCTGGAGCCAGGACTGATACGTTACACTGCCTAGAATTGTGAAATTGTAAAGTTACAGAGAGATAAATAACAAATACACAGCCATTAATGACATTTAGGAACAGATGTGACAGTAGGAACACAGGGGTGAGTCATTAAAGAGAAGTCTAACGTCTGATATTGCCACAATTAGATGTTATTGAAAAATGTGTTCTGTTGGAGTTTAAGATCCCTTGTAACATTTAGAAACTACACGCACATCTGACTTCCTTCAACTAGTTAATGCATCAGGGCCAAATGGTTATTTGTACTGGTAGTACTCAAAATGAAGATTATATGTAGTATGTCACATGCATTGTTTTTCTTTTAACCCTTTCACTACACTGGTTGCCCCTAAAAAAAAAATTGCAAAAGATAATAATTCTGGGAAAAGGATTTTGACTACAACAAGGTCCTCTGCCACAACATGCAGTCATTTGCAAGGTCTAATTTAAGTTACGGTTGAGCCAGGATGCATTCCCAATCCACACTTAATACTAATTCTAAGCATGTTTTTAAAATGCAAAGTGTTCAAAATGTAAAAGTGGAAATAATCAAGTTTAATCTAAATGGTCAGAAAATAAACCAAAACAAAATCTTTATCTTTGAATGTTTCATTGATGACACTATTCTCCTAAAGGTATTGCTAACTGACAGAGGCTTGCTAAATTCTCAGCTTGATTGAAATCATTATATAATTGTATATTGTGTTTGTGAAATATCTGTAAAAACGAGTTTAGGAAGTTAAGGTATATGATGTGTGAGATCAACATGCCGGTTTGAGCTTTCTGAACAGATCTGCCCAGTGACACCAGTGCCTTGAAATACATTGTCCATCCAAGAGGCCAATAACATTCTTTATAGTACATGATATGCTTACACACTAT